CACCATGTGACAATAAAGCACAAACCAAACAGGCCACAGCAATAAAGTACACAAAATTCACAATTTCAACCCAACTGATGATGGATGATTTGGGAAGATGGTAAAAAGTGATTTTTTGACTTTTAATCAAATTTTTGGCTTTTTTAGACTGGAAAGTTGATAAAAAGTGACTTTTGACTTTTTTGATTAATATTTGTTTATGATGTCAAATCACAATAAAATGACTAAACTACCCCCATTTATTTAAAATATTTACAACTGAACCTATGTAACACATTGTGACCCATGAGGGGTAAAATTGTAATTTCACCGTTGGCTAAAAACCAACTTGCCAAATGAAAAAAAAGCCAAAAAAGCCAACTTTTGGCTTTTGCTACTAACCAAAAAAAGTGACTTTTAGCCAAGTTCCCAAAATAGCCCTAAATTAGCTTGTTCCCAAACGAGGCCTTAATCTAGCTAAAAATAATTAAAATATTAAAGATATGTTTAATATTGCTATTACTTAGTAAACAATTGAAAAATGGTAAAATAGTCTTTTGTTCATTTATCATATTCAGTCCGTCCAACCAAACAATGGATTCACTAAAAATAGTCCTTTCCAGACATCTAATCGCATGAGAAAATAAACACAGGATACATATTCAATCTAACCAAATAGTTCGGGGGATTCACAGTCTCAGGATTCAAGTCCGATGAATTCTAATCCACCCTTATTTAGTCCGTCCAATCAATGATCTAAGGAAATGCAGTGGGATTTTCATATTATACATCCATATAGAGTGATGTTATAAATGAGAAATACTATCTACTTAAAAATTATTACTTAGGAAGTGCCCACCGTTTTTCATGTATACTGTAGATTTAAGCTTAACGTTAGGCAGGCCACATTCAAGATACTTGATTAATCATTTCAAATTTTGAGTACTTTTTTAAGTAAAAATTATGAATATGTTTGTTATATATAAATAGAACATCAAATTATATTAGTGCAATTGTAATTTGTCACTTGTACTAATTTGGTCATTATAATTCTAATTATCTCAATTTAATTCTTGAAGTTTTCAATTTGTGTTAAAAACAATGGTATATTAAAACAATACTCCCAGTAGTTTACTCGTATAAATTTAGTCATTATAGTTTCAATTATAACTATTTTACCCTTTATTTTACATTTTATATCAAATCAGTCATATTGTTAATGTTTGTCAAGATATTTGAAAAAAAAAAAAAAAATTTGTTACATACTCCTTATGTACCAATTCACGTGGACTAAAATAGAAAAACGAACAATTATATTATGTTACATGGAAAATTTTCTATGTTCTCTATCATTTTATGTATACTGACATTTGACTTCACGCGATGCATATACTATTACTTTTTGAAATCGGGAAGAGATTTGACAAATAAAATTATAAAGAATTTTTTTTTTGAATGTGAGTATTGTCTTGCTATTACATATTTGTCTCTTTTTGTGGTAAAGAAACACAAACAAAAGCGTTATCTCATGCATTGGGTATTTTGGGAAAAAATTTTACTACAACAACCTACACAACGTACCCCAAACCAGCAGCACGCACAAGAAGAGGCCCCTCGAAAAAATGCCATTGGCGCCGAATTTTGAGAAGCAACGCCATAGCCAAGCTTCCATGCACCACCGAAGCACTAAGCATTGCCTAATACCTTCACAAGTAGTGCACTACCAACACACCACCAGTGAAATAGCTCCATCAACCGGAATACATCATCGGTTGGACCAATAATCGCTGACAAAAAGATCTCGAAAAAACCCACAACAACCAGCAAACACTTGACGTTGGAACTATAACAGAACCAGTGCAAACTAGAATACGTAGCACCGGCAACAGGACCAGAGCAGAGCTTGTTGAGGAAGAGGTCGTAGAGGAGGGTGGAGGAGCAAAGCTTGTTGCCTTGGATCTGGAAGACAGTGGATAAGAGGAGAAGAGAGAGAGAGAGAGAGAGAGTAGAGTAGAGTAGAGTAGAGTAGAGACAAAGAGTCAAATTTCTCTGATATATGTTTAGGGACCTTAGACATCAAAAAATAATTTTGTAAATTTCTTCCATTACGAAAAGTAGGAGAGGAACCCTAGACCAATTTTCCCCAATTTTAAAGTAATAGAATAGTGTCTATTATATCCCGTCTGTCTATGATACACTTCTCCCTAATCTGAACTCTAACCTTAACTCAACTTGTTGATTTTCATATTACACCAGTTATTTATCCGAACTTTCTTGTCGATTATATTATGTAAAATATACAACTCATATTTTTTTAAAGTTTCCTTACAATCTTGATTTCTAAAAATACCTATAAAATAACTAAATGGAAAAACAATAACTGCTAATCAAATTTTAGGCCCCGTTTGTTTTCAGAGGTAGAATGGAGGGGATTCATAGTAAGGAGATTAATAGTGAGGGGATTAAGTAAAATTGTATTTATTTTGATGATAGTTGTTAGTGTAGGAATTGTTAAATTATTTTTATATAAAATAATAAAACAAATAAAAAATATAAAAAATTAAACATTAATATTTATAAAAAAATTCTCAATATATAACAAATAAAAATAAATAAAAAAATTTCTAATCCCCTCACTATTTTTCTAATACCATCTCTCCAACCTCCATCTATATCACCTCCACCATCCTAATCTCCTTCCCAACTCTACAAACAAACGCAACATTAAATAACACCTCCACCATCTTAATCCCCTCCCATCTACTTAACCCAAAACAAACGGGCCCTTAGAACCATCTCATATTTTTTATTCAAACCATCTTAACATTTAGGGGTGGTTTGAAATGATCTAAATAAGTGCACTTTTTGACTTTTTATGAAATATGGATTTTATGAAATATGGTTTGGATATGAGTTGGGTTTGAAGTGATGTGGTAGAGAGGTGATGTGACTTAAATAAGATAGTAACTTTTTGACTTTTTTAGATATAAAATTACACAAGAATAGCATATCTACTATCATTAATCTATCTATCTATCTATCTATATCTATATTATATATATGTGAGCACTTAGATTGATTTCTTGAAGCTTTGTCTCTCCTCATGCCAAGTGTCCAATGATCTATCCAAAAAAAAAAAAAAAAACACCTAGAGAAGATAATGAGCCAAGACTTGAACTCAAGACCACAAATTTCTTGAGATTACAATTAATATATGTTAAATATTTTATTTATTTAACTCGCACACACATCGTGTGTGTGTGCGCGCGCGCGCCAACCACTAGTATGTATACAAATAGACATGCATGTAGGTTGTTACACTTTTCCAATGTGAATAGTCAAAATTCATATTTATTTCATTTAATTTTCAGAATTTATTTTTGAAAAAATATTTTAAAAAGTAAAAATTAATTTAGTGGGAAAAAAAATAAATTATAAACACTCATCATATTTATATAGTTTTTATGTTTTTCTGGGGCGGATATAAAAATTCAAAAATATTATTTTAGTATTTATTTTTATCAAAATAATTTATGACTTTCCAAAATGTTTCAATGGTAGGGCCACTAGGACAAAATTAGTTCCAAGTTTGCATTAAGGGGATTGCATGGATGTGTGGTCTAGATTTCAAGAGAGAGAGACCTCTTTTTGCACCCTCTATCACATCAAGTGGCCCAAAAGAAAAAATATTAGGTCACGAGGGCTAAAGAAAGAAATGAATAAAACATGTTGGCTTGTTTTCAGAATACACGCTTTTGTTCACACTTATCCCATGGTTTCACCATATATAGAGACAATAAAAGATGGTGACATCTCCACCCATCCAAATGGGTTAAAAAGCTTTGTATCCACTCCCATAAAGGTTTCTTGAAAATCTACTTTAAACTTTTTTTGTGTCAATGAATTTTGAAACGCCAATTTTAAGATTTTTTTTTTTTATTCAAGAAAAGTTTAGGAGAAGGGGAGGCTACCCCATTCTAGAGCCAAGAAAAGCGTTACACAATATCGTCCATCAACAAAGAACTACCAGCAACAAGACTCAAACTTAAGCCAAATGGGCCAAGGGAACAAACCTTTCCATCTAAACCAACCCTTGTTGGTAGAATTTTAAGATATGATGTAAAGAATGTAAGAATATTGAAACAGGTAATAAAGAGATTTAGAAACAATATTCTGAATTTCTATGCATTTTTAGTCAAAAAATTATGTGAGAATATAATCATAAACTCACGTAAGATTTTTTTTAATTATAAAATTTTCATAATATATACTAACGATCATTAATATATTAAAATAGAAGAACAGAAATTTAAAAACAGATAATTTTATGCCAGTGATCCCAAGCAAATAAAGAGTCTCTTTGGGTGTAATTTTCTCAAATTAAAAATTGATAAACAAAATGCATAAAAGTATCTCATCTAACTTTCCATAATTAATTTTTTTTAACATATTTAAATTATTTTTGTTTCATACCAAACAACCAAGCTGACAGACTTTCAAAATTATATACCACAAGCTAGCTTAGGGTTGTTTTGGGAAGATGGTTAAAAGTGACTTTTTGGCTTTTAACCAAGCTTTTGGCTTTTTTAGACAAATGATTTGGGAAGTTGGTAAAAAGTGACTTTTGACTTTTTTGATTAATATTTGTTTATGATGTCAAATCATAATAAAATGACTAAACTACCCCCATTTATTTAAAATATTTACAACTGAACCTATGTAACACATTGTGACCCATGAGGGGTAAAATTGTAATTTCACCGTTGGCTAAAAACCAACTTGCCAAATGAAAAAAAAGCCAAAAAAGCCAACTTTTAGCTTTTACTACTAACCAAAAAAAGTGACTTTTAGCCAAGTTCCCAAAATAGCCCGATATCATCAAAATAATATACTATATAGTACTCTAATTCAAACACTCAAAGGTGTGAGAATGACCAAACCAAGCTCAGAGAGACAGCACAGCCTGTAACACAAAACATGCATATTTCAAGTCACTGCTCAACTGGGTTTTTTAGCCAATCTGAATCTAAAGAGAGAAATAGAGTCATGCGGATCTTACAAACACAAAAACAGACTAGTTGACATGAACAAACAGCCTGAAAATTCATGGACTTTTTAGGTTTATATACAACGATTGAAACTAGACAAAGATCCAACACAAAAATAACAAGAAAAAAACCAGACTCATCCAGCTTTTTTCACATCAAAAATCCTCAAATAAAGCTAATGTAGACTTAATATGAAACCAATTATGTTACAGAGCTCGCTACCTACCGGGAGCCTTAAAATGTCCCAGAGCCATGGCACAATCCACAAATTTAACTCCGGTCCTATGATAAGCTCTCTCCTTGAGCTTCATTCATCCGACAATACCTACCGTGAATCGCCAATTTTGGACGATAAGGCCATCCTAAGCTGTTCTTGCGTGTAAAATCGACTACCCATCTTCACCGTGGCTTGTTGGATCATCAAATCGTTCACCACGGAGACACTGGCATGGTGGACATCGAGGTCTAGCTCTTTTAAAGCTGACATTAACCTAGCTGCAGGGTGGTTCTTTTTACTACACTGGATTCGAATCATCGCGTCCCAACCAATTATCTTCACATCGATATCTATATCTTGCAACTTTGTTCCATTGTTTGACATTTTGAGATCTTGATCGGGCGGAGGTGGACCTGAAAACCGGGATTCTTTCACGCTCAATTCTCTTTTTAAGGACTCAATTTGGTTCCTCATCTCCTCTTTATCGGACTCTGAAGTTTGGAGCTTGGATTTGAGCTCGTTGATGTAAGAAATGGCGTCACCAAGAAGCGAAGCTTTGTCCATTTTCGACACGTTTGGGACTACAGCTCTAAGTGCATAGAACCTCTGGTTGAGCTTCTCTCGCCTCTGCCTCTCTGCTTCCACATGATTCAATGGCTCTTCTCTTCCATTTGCGGGTTTTCTGCCACGTTTACGAGGCCTTTTCTCTGGATCAGGCACTCTGCTACTCTCAACCTCGCGAGCCACCGAGGCTTCGAGGTCAGAGTGGTCTGAATCTCCGCCACAACCGCTCGATTTCACCATCCCTGAAGAGGGCAAAATCACACCAGAAGTGAATGAAAGCATTCCTTCATCATTGCTACCTCGTGAAGTTGGGGATCTCTTCTTCTTATTTTCCTCTACACCACCAAATTGGGAATGATTGGAAAACAGATTTCCATTTCCACTACATGAACTCCTCTTGCTCTCACCGAAATTCAAAATATCGCCCGATTCAGGCTTGCAGGACTGTGAATTCCCATTCCTAACACTAGTTCCATCGTACCCAAATTCAGAGAAATTCAATTCCCTGGTAAAGGAGCTCTGGGTTTGGGCATGGGTTAGTTGGTGTGGTGGCTGGTTTTGATGGTGAGAGCTGTGATTGTGAACATGGATTGAACTAGGGGTTTCAGTCACAGTACTCGAACTAGGGTTTTCAACACCGTTTTGCTTCGAGTACTGTTGATTATGAGAAGGAATTATCGGTGTCGACTCTCTGAGTTCGACCACGGACGACGATGGATCGGTTATATACATCGCAGACGGGTCGTTTTCTGCCGGAATCGACCATGAACCCAATTCAGTACTGTTGAAATTGAAAAGAAACCTGACTTTATTCATCAGATCTGAGGTCTGGAATATCAATTCCGTAGAACCCACTTCGACGACGCCATTAGAGCAAGGAATACAAACCATGGTCTGTAATCCGAACACTTGACCTTGTCGGACTCGCTCGCAGGCCGAACCAGCAAGGCGTTCAGCTCCGGCGACCCAAATCGAAGACGAATTGAAGAAGGCTTGGCCGGGGAGTCCACTTCCATTGACGAACGATTGAGTCATGGAGACGAGGAAGAACCACTCGGTGTCGGTGACTTCCTCATCGACGCTGTCGTCGGCGGAGGGAGAGGCGCCGGAAATCAAGGAATTGAGTTCCCGGAGAACCTTTTTGCGGTGCAGTTGCTCCGCCACGGACGACGGCGCCGCCGCCTTGCGCTTGCCTTTGTCTTCTTCGCCTTTGTAGTAGCCGTCGCCCCAACCCAGCATGGAGCCGCCGGAGTAATCGACCACGGAGGATTGCCAGAAGATCGCGTAGGTCCAGCTCTCTCGAGCCCCCTCGATCAGGGCATGGAGACGTTGCTGGAGGCTCTCCTGGTTGAATATCTGCGGCGGTGGCGATGGTGGTTGTGGCGGTGGCGGTGGTGGTGGGTGGTGGTTCGCCGCCACCGCCGAGGTGGAGGCAGAGGAAGATGGCGGCGGAGGCCAAAAAGACGTCAGATCGGAAGTCATAAAAGCCTCCATCATCGAAGCGTTGTCGTCGGTCCAGAGATTCATCGTCGGTAACCGGTAATCGGTCATTGAGAGAGAGAAATGGGTAGTGGTGGTGTTTTTGGAACCGTGAATACACGTGGGAGGAGAGGAGAGAGAAAGTGGAAGTTTTAGAGAGAGAGAGGGAGGGGGGCTGGAGGCGGAGGAGATGAGAGGGATTTAAGGAGGAGGAGGAGAGAGGTGGTGGGTGGGAGACTACAATATGGAGTTGATTTCCGTTTGGGATTTATTTGGAATGCATTTGAGCTGAATTTTAGTGGGCTGAGAGTGTAGAGAGAGAAGACAAAGCTGGCGGGTTCCACGAAGGCCTCGCCGATTTAATCCGATGGGTCTGTAAAGCCGGCGCACCTTAGCGTGTTAGTCAGGTTTAGCTTATTTTGGTCGGTCGAGTCCCCGGGCTTTTTTCCAAACTTATGGCTCAATTCGGGCTTGGGTTCTTGAGGACCATTCTGTTGTTGTACCCGACCCGAATTTGGTGGGCCGGGCAATATTTACTCTACTGTTACTATTTTATTTTTATTTTTTTTCCCAATTTACCAATGATAATATGAAAACTGATTTCAATTTATTTTATAAAATTTATTAAGATATTTTTTACAAGAAGATTTCAAGTCTTGTAAAACAACTATACTGAACTGCTTAAATTGTATTTGCATTAAAAATTTTAAAAATAAAAATGGCATAATGTGAATAAAATAAAATTACATTTAACTTACAGTTCACCCTCCTTTTTTTCTTTTTCTTTTTTAGATTTATAATCCAAATACAATCTTACAATATCAATTGAGACTATTTAATTTGTGAAACGGTCTCACTTTGATTAATTTATTCATTATCTTATATACTCTTGTGTAGATTATTTACACCCAAAAAAAAAATCAATTAATTTGATAATTGCCACCATATGTTTTACTATGTTTTAAAAATAATAATAAATGATAAATATGATGTTTATAATATTTCATCCAAAATTTTAATGGGAAAATTGGTTTAAGGTCCCTCTCCCACTTTTCGTAATGAAAGAGATTCACAAAATTATTTTTTGATATCTAAGGTCCCTAAACATAGATCAGAGAAATTTGACTGGGTTTGATCTTCTTCCTCAAAACCTCATTGCCCGATTCTTCTCTCTCTAGCAGAACCTCCCAATCTCTTTCTCTTCATTTTTTTTTTTCTCTGTACTTTCTAGATCTCTCAACCTGATTTCATGGATCTATAAACCCACCCACCTGCATTGTTGTCTTTCGTCTAGGGTTTACGAGCCACATGCTTCATTAATGAATGGTTAGTTCTCATTAGGAACACTGCAAAAGATATTGGACAAACAACAATAGGATATGCTGCATTGCAGCGTCAGAGGGATGAGGACATGCTAGCTCATCAGAGGAAAATTGAGGAACAGAGTTATTCAGGGTCTGAAGATTTTACATATACTTTAGATGTTGAAGAAATTAATGAAGATTTTGTTCTGAAGTTTGACCTTACGCCCGTTTACCGGGCATATCACATTCACACTTGTCTAGGAATCCCAGAGCAGTTTTGTGATTATTATTACAAGAATCGGTTGTTGCAGCTGAATTCAGACTTGCAAATATCTTCTGCACAATCATTTCCGAAGACTGATGTGGGTTTCCAAAATTTTCAGAAAAATTTTGAATTTCCAGAATTCCGAAGTCTAGAGAAATTTCCAGAATTTCTCTTGAGAGAAATATCTCTGGACCAATTTTCTCTGAATTTAATTTCTTAGATATAGCAAGAGATGATGTTAAATTTGTAGATCTTACTTGTCCATCATCAGTACAATTGGTGCCTTCTGCCAAGAAGCATTCACAGACATCTTTCATCAGCTTCACCACAGAGAAACTAGGTTCACTAATTCTATATGTTTTAATATATTTCTCCTCCACCAATTTCAAAACTGCATCTAAACTTGGAATATGAAAACCAGATTGCTGAGAAGAGTTACAGATCAGGGAAATTTTCATATCATAAACTAAACAAATAAATAACAAAAGGAAAAAATAAAATGAATAATTTGATTTTTTTTAAAAGTATACACACAAACTGGTTCTTATATACACATCAAACCCAGAGAAAATTCAAATTTCTCTAGGTTCAACCCAGAGAAAATTTAGTCCAACAACCCAAAGAAAATTTTGACCAACCAAACCAGAGAATTTTGTAACTTGTTGCTAAGAGCAGGCTATCAATGTTTGAGGACATAGGAAACCTTAGCAAGGATTTGATAATGGAAAGTATGTATATAATATTGTACTGTTGCCTTTCTTCCTCACCTTTGAGAAGCAAGAAAGTGAGTTGAGATAGGAGAATTCTTATGTTCAAAAAAAAAAAGGGCAGAGAAATTTACAATGGGAAGTTTAGGGAAGTCCCAGAATTTCTCTTGACCAATTTTCTCTGGATTGATGTTGAGGGACCTTAGACATCATAAAAATATTTGATGTCATTTCTACTATAAAATCATAATATCAAGGACCTTAAAAAAATACCCCATTTTTAAATAGTTAACCTTAAATTTATAGTATTACTGCCTTCGTTATTTTTCATGGAACCAAAAATAGGGTTAATGAGGGATTTAGAAATGCACAGCAACAATTATTGTACGGGATTCATTTTGGGACTCATTTAAATGATCTGAATCATTCACATTTTGCTATACATCGATTAAAACATATCTAAACAAAATTAAATTGATCGGATATTGATATCTCTTTCATCAAATCACATTTATATTTTGTTTTATACTTTAAATTATATTTACTATTCTCTTTTTGTTTTTTGTTTTTATTTTTATTTTTTACATGTAATATGATTTTATGATAGAATCAACTTGATTTTTTTATGAACTTGTTCTTCTCCTTTTTGATCTGGGAGAACTATTAGACTGGGGGAGTTTTATTATAGATTCCGTTTTAATAAATTGAATTGTTTGATGTGTAATATTTATTGAATATTATATATTTATAAAAATTTAAGTTAATTGAATATCGATAGTTATCTCATCAGATTAGATTTTTATTAACCATTTATTTTTTCACCGTCAATTTTTTTTATACAAAACAGATTTAATCACGTAACTATCGATATCTAATTAATGTATTTTTTCAGGCATTAATACTCGATAAGTTCTACACATTGAACAATTCAGATTATTAAAACGAAATCCGTGATAGACTCTCATGAGTCCAATAGTACCCTCAAATCCGATTGGAAGAAAACCAGTTACTAAAAATTAGAGGTTTAACATACTCAATTTTAGTGGTATTTTTTTTTTAAAGTTAAAAATTGATGTTAAAATATAGTACTTTGATTATTAAAATTCATAAATTTTACCATTAATTTGGAATTTTTTATTTTTTATTTTTACAAACAACACTAATATTTTTTGTTTATTAACCAAAAATATCACATAGATAATATCATATCATACTTTTATAGTATAATAATGGAGTCTAACTGAAGTGTGACAAGCTTTAAAGCATTAAAAAACTTGTGAGAAAACTGTTTTATGGGTATTTATGATCTAATTATTGATTTGTCTTGATTATAAGAACAAAGTTAAGTCATTAAAAAATTTGTCATAAAAGTGCACATAAATGGATACATAAATAGGTAAATGGACAAATAAATACATAAAAGTAATATCATCTTTTAAATTGTTGTTGTGTTTTTAGACAAAAATAATAAAATTTGAAATAGTTACTCAAAAATTTTAAATTCAAATTTATGGTCAAGTGTCCTTAAAATTTATATTTCTACATAAGTGTGACAAGCTTAAAGCACTAAAAAACTTGTGAAAAAACTGTTCTATGGGTATATATGATCGAATTATTGATTTGTTTTGATTATAAGAACAAAGTTAAGTCAATAGAAAAAATTTCATCGTTAAAAAATTTGTCATAAAAGTGCACATAAATGGATACATCAATAGGTAAATGGACAAATAAATACATAAAAGTAATATAATCTTTTAAATTGTTGTTGTGTTTTTAGACAAAAATAATAAAATTTGAAATAGTTATTCAAAAATTTTAAATTCAAACTTATGGTCACGTGTCCTTAAAATTTTATATTTCTATATAATTTTCTAAGCTTATTAACAAAATCCTCAATAATTTTTTAATAAAAAGCGGGTCCTAGTTGGCATGGCTGAGAAGTCATCCTGACCCTTGATTGGGTCGTCGCAATTCGTCCGATTCCCTCACAAAAATCCAAACTAAAATAATATATACCCACACCATAATTAAATTATTAAGACACGTTTACCTTGAAGCGTGATTTGAAAATAACGTTTATATTTTATTTTATTTTTCTGCCTAGGCACGTTCGAATACCACTTTAGCATGCGAAAAACTACCACCATCACATATTTTTATTTTTTTATTTTATTTGTTTATTTCGATTTATTTATAGTTATCATAAACCTTTTAATATTTTATTCTAATTTATGCTCAGCAGCCCCCCTTGTTGGTTCTAATCCTAAAACACAACCTTCATATTTGACATTAATATATTCTCATTCCTAATTTGTGAAAATCTTCTACAAAACACACCCCATATTATTATATTATTATTGTAATTATTTAACTGAAATTTATTTAGTTGCCCAATGGGCTGCTATTAGTATTGATGACTCATTGTGAGAAAATTGTAGGGTAATGAGTTAAAAAAAATATATTTTGAAGTGTTTGAAAGTGTTTCGAAAATTAACTATTCAGATAGCTATCATGAGTATTGACAAACTCATTATGAGAAAATTAGATGGGAATATAAAAAATAAAATATTTTAAAAATATATAAAAGTGTTCAGAAATGTGTAAATTACTTAAGGATTCACATTTAATTAAAAAAAAAAACAAAAAAACAATTTTCCCACCTTTAGTGACAATCGTTAGCTTGACTCATAATTTATTTTGCTAATAATAATTAAACATATAGTGGAGTAGGTATAGTTTGGAATATCATGTACACAATTATCACCATGGTATTGTATTTCAGAGACACACACGCATAAAAGAAGAAAAAAAATAAATAGGGAGTTTATAAAATGGAATTTTCTCGCAAAATTAGTGGTTTGGCTTCATTTTCAAAATATGTTTTATATTTCTCTCCAGTGGAAAACTAGTATGGTGAGAAAAAAAAGTAATTAAAAAAAATTATGGTTTTCATATATATTTTTTGGAATAAATTTTATCAAACTATTGTT